CACTCAACTTGAACGTGATCCAAGCAGTGGTTCTTCTCTACAAGAGATGACATTGTGGCTCAATTTGGAGCGCGCTCTGCTCAAAATTGCTCAAAAACGAGACGGGGAAGAAGTTACGTTGACTCTTGAAGCCTTGAAGTGCGGAAAACGTTTCCACGCAACTGTGTCATTCGATAGTGATACTGGATTGAAGCAAAAGTTAGCCGTTGTTCAGGACTACAATACTCTTATGAAAGATTTCCCATTGAGTGAATTGGTCTCTGCATCTGACGTTCCAAAGTTGACGCACGCAATCGCAGGAATTTTCNTTCATCCCCTTCCTCGGAATCGGTGGAGTGTCGAAGCGAATGATGGTGAATAAATTTCGCAAGAAAGTGATTGCCGCCATCTCAAATGCAAATGTTCACTGCCGCCCAAATGTGCACAGTTTCCTACAGTAACTTTTACAGATCTAGGCAATTTTTTGGAGACCGTATGAAAGCGCGAGAAACGCGGCGGCGAGAGAAACGAAAGGGGGAGAAAGTCTGCATGCGCTATAAGTTACGACGCATTGCGGAACAACCGTATATTTCACTCAAATTTAGCAGGTAAAAACTTTGAAACAAATTCGATTCACACCCAGTTTTGCATGCAGAAATGCAATATTTAAAAAATATATATTCTATATATTGTCAATTCAAAAAGATCGCACCGGTGAACACACAAACAAACAAGTAAACAAGGGGGCGGAGCGATCCGCCCCTTTTCGCAAAGGCGCCGCGCAGTTTTTCGACGGTATTTCAGAGATGCGGTTTTTGGTAATGTTTCATCGAATTTCTTCCGAATCGAAGGAAATTCGTCGATTTTGTGAAGGAATATATAACTTTGTTTTAATAAAAACTGAGAAACACAATTGGGAAACACTATTCTCTGATTCAGGGTGAAAATGAAATGAGCAAGACCATGTGACGTATCGAATCCTGCAATGATGAAAATAGAAAGTAGGAAAGCTTCGAGATCACATAAAACATAAATTATCCTTGTAAAATTTCCTGAAAACCTGAAAAACTCGATCGGAGAAGTATTTAGAGTAATTTGTCGACTAATCGCAGATTATTTAACACTTCTTCATAGTTGTGATCTCAGAAGGCGATTTTTCTTATTAGATGATGGATGAATTAGAAAAAAATCGACGAATTTCCTTTAATTCGGAAGAAATTCGATGAAAAATTACCAAAAAACGGTATCGCTAAAATACCGTCGAAAAACTACGCGGCGCCTTTGCGGAAAGGGGCGGATCGCTCCGCCCCCTTATTTACTCTTTGTTTGTGTGTTCACCGGTGCGATCTTTTTGAATTGACAATACAAAACTGTTAAATTAACGATTTATTTATACTGAGCAGACATACATGGGAGGAATTTGTGATTGGTTATATAAGAATTGTTTTTTAATCACAGAAAACACTTTTTTTTTCGCATGGATTGGTTTAAAAAACACATTTTCATCTTATGAATGACATCATGAAATAAGAAAGAAATTCCAATTTTTTGAGCCTGTGGAAAATGGTGTTTGATGATTCAGATCACATATTATCATTTTTCGGTAAGAACAAGTACCATGATGATGATGATGAGTACTTAATGAGTGATGAACATAATGATGATACGGAGTTGGGAACTTTAGGCCTCCAAATATTTAGACCGCATTTGAAAAATAGCTGAAGTTAAAAAAAATTTTTTTTCCTTATGTATGTGAAACCTATTTAAAGCCTGCTGATTTTGTGAGTTGTAACTCGATTTTACGTCTTCCTGTAACTCGTTGAATTGTCTTTCGATGACTGCAAAAAGAAGCAGTTTACTATTCCAGAATCCTGCCAGAATCGACTATCCCAAACATTCTACCATTCAGAACATTCGGAACATTTAATTGGAGAACATAGTGTAGAAAGTTCCGATGTTCCTTAACCGAAATCATACAGAAGCTACTACATTCTTAACATATTCGGAAACTAATTTTTTCACTCACAACATTTTTTATCAACAGAAAACTGTTCGGAAATAGGATTATTAATTTCAGATTCATTGAGCAGTTCTAAATAAGTTTGGTTGCTATGGATCGATTTCAGTTTCTAGATGTAAAAGAGGTCAGAACCAAAATTAGAATTTCGCATAGAACAAATGAACAACGAACATATTGTTCAAAGTGACAAATTAAACAATAGAAAACATATTTGGTATATTTTTTAAAACTATAATCGGGTTATTAATGACAACTACAGATGTGTGTTTCAAATCTATTGTGATTGGCATGAGTTGGTTCAAGAAAAACGTATTTTTTTCTCATGAACAGCAAAACAATACAACTTGATTTGTTCTTTCATTTTATTTCGAATTAATGCTGGAAATTTTATTTTTCAACCGAATGCAAAGGCATGCGTTCTCGTCATTTTTTTCTAACCTACTTATTCAAGCCGAGTTTTTTCGGATTTTCGGACGCTATTATCCTTGTCAGAGAAAAAAAAGGTTGAGTCGAAGTGTATGCGATGTTTGTAAACAAATATCTGAAAGCGTAAACAACCGGAAACAGTTGAAACGAGTGCGACAGTAACCCGGCGGGAAAATATTAGGTTGGCGGGAAAGTCTTTGTCACTCTGTTTGTTTAATCACTGTTCCCGTATATGGAGGCTGTGTATGATATCGACTTTAGTGAATAACAAGGTGATAAGAACCTTCCATATAAACAAGTCCCCATCTCCTTCCCTGCTCCTCATCTGTAATTGAAACGATATGTTTGTTCCCACTGCTATTCACATCAGACATGTTTTGATTTACCTCTTCCTATCTCACACCACGATGAAGGATTCGGAAACTTTCTTGAAGAATGTGTACAACACACATGCCCCTCACTACAATACTATTCGCAATTGGTTCCATCGTTTCGAAAAAGATGACTTCTCGCTCGATGAAAAGGATCGCTCTGGGAGACCCCGTGAGTTGGATTTGGACAAGCTGAAGCACGCATTGCAATCGGATCCATTTCAATCTAGCCGTGAACTAGCTGTCACATTCGGAGTTCACCATAGCACAGTCCTTGAAGGTTTGAAGTCTCTTGGAATGAGAAAACTTTTTGGTCGATTCATACCTCATCACCTGACTCAAGCCAACCTTGACCGCCGAGTCGACGATTCGATTACTCTTCTCACTCTCCACGCGGGCGATCGATGGCTGGACCGGCTAATAACCGGAGATGAGAAGTGGGTCTTCTACGATAATCACCACAGGAAATCCCACTGGGTTGGAGAAGGAGAGAGCCCACAGGATGTCCCCAAACCCGACCTTCATCCGAAAAAAGTTATGCTCTCTGTGTGGTGGGGAGTGGACGGCCCCATCTACTGGGAACTTCTGCCCGAGGGCAAAACAATAACTGGAGACCTCTACACTACTCAACTACGAAACCTCAAGAAAGCAGTCGACCGTTCGGCCCTGAAAGACAAGAAAGTGTACTATCAACATGATAACGCTCGCCCACATGTTTCGAAACAAGTGAAGCAGGAGCTGATGGGATATGGATGGAATGTTCTCCCTCACCCCCCGTATTCTCCTGATCTTGCTCCTTCCGACTATTGGTTATTTGGCGATATGACACGTGCCTTCGAAGGAAGAAGCTTCAATTCCCGTGGAGCGGTCGAAGCGGCACTCAAACAATACTTTGCCTCACGCCCGGCTGGATTCTACCGCAATGGAATCCATAAATTGAGGGAACGTTGGAGACATGTTGTTGATAATGATGGACAATATAATTAATTATTCGGTTATTTTTTCTTTGAGAAATAAACTATTGAAAAAGTGACAAAGACTTTCCCGCCAACCTAATATTAAATTTACTCATTTTTTATTTTGCAGCAAATTTCGTCGAATATATTTTAAAATACCGCAAAAAACAATGAAAAACAAACCATATTCGACGAAATTTGCTGCAAAATATGAGAAAAACTAAAAAATAGGTAAATTTAAAGGGGGACTCCGGTCAATTTTTTTATTGCATCAATATGTGTTAAAATTTATCTATTTTCAGAATATTATTGCGAAAAAATTCGAAAAAAATCCGAAATTCCCAAAAAACGCCGTTGAAAAGGAAAATAATTCAAAAAAATGTGCCGCCGAGGGACGAGGATTTTCAGTGAGAAACCTAGGCCACGCGAGCGGCGCGACTTTCTTACCGGACAATTTTTCCGGATTTTTCTCGCTTTCATCTCCAACAGGTAAAAAACGTTAAAAAACACTGTCGGCCACTTGAAAATAATGCTCTCAGGCGCCATAGCCTAGGTTTCTCACTGCGCGGGAATTCAA